ACCCATTTTCCCACACTGATTACCACAGTAGTTCCATTCACATATTGTTCTAGAAAGTAGGTACCCAGGTAGAAACAGAGATCGTCACTGACATCTGAGGGCAGAAGCGAACGTCCGTGTATACTGAGAAGGAATAGCCTACTGGTAATATACTAACATCTACATGCACAGTCTGAGGTGGAGCACTGAGCCCTCTCTCCCTGGTCATGGGTAATGCCTGAGACCACAGGCATGTCTGTACTAAGGAAAAGGAGAACACACACACTGGCCAAAGTTGTCAGTTTAATTTCTCTGCTCCTGAGATTGGTTAGATGCCTTTAGTGTATTACTTATAATATTCCACTTTGTTCACAGGTGCTTTAGAAAACCATGCACAACTAAATATTATACAAGTATTTACATTCAGTAAAGTATAGTTACAAGTTAATTATCAAAGTTAACTGAAATAGCCAGTTTCTCAAGAAAAAAGTCATTGAAGCAGCTGTAATACAGAATCGTACTAGTAGATTCAGGTGGACTTTTACAAATGGAAGTACAAACCAATTTAATAACACCAAATTACTCCAAACAGAGTAAACATATATATGCTGGGACACAAAGTTCAAATACCATTATAGATGAACAAATATTTTGTTCTTCTAAAATAAATTATGGAGTTTGAAGGCAGAGGTTTAAACAGAGGTTGCAAATAAATAACACAAACTACATAAGGTCACAAACTGCTGATGCCATAGTGTATTCTGTCAGTTCTAATATTATTATCAATACGGGGGGGGGATGGCAAGGACTTGGGAAGGGCATCTCATTTTCTCCTATATCCTTTCCCTTATTATCTCTTCTTTCCTACCACCTGGCAGCCCTTATATCCCCTCCCCTTTCCCTGCTTCCTTGCCTTCTTTCCCATCCACCAACCAACCTACCTTTTGCCTGCTCCCCATCTTCAGCTGGATTTATTATTTATTTACTGCATTAGTACCCTGCCTTTCTCCCCAATGGGACCAAAAGCAGCTTACATTATTCTCCTTCCTGCCATTTTATCCTCACAACTCTGTGATGTAAATTAGGCTGGGAGTGTGTGATTGGCCCAGAGTCACCAAGTAAGCTTTCACAGCAGAGCAGGGATTCAAACCTGTTTCTCCCAGATCCTAGTCCAAAAGTATACTACATTGGCTTTTGTGTGGTGAATGCTGTTGAACAGTAGCAAGCAGGCAGGTCTACTGCCGGTTGCTACCAAGTCTGGTACCATCAGTCCTCCCTCAAAGGCCAAAACAGATCTGGACAGGGTCCTGCCCCTTCTCCCTGCCAGTTATAGACAGAAAACAAGGCTTGAAGGATGGCAACATTGTTGTGGTCACACAGCAACCCCAACAAGAGCCACTACAGTGGGCATTCATTTCTTAAAGGTACTTTTTGGTTTTAGATTTCAGATTTTTCTGCAAACCGGGGGCTTTTCTCAGGTTTGTAGAAATTTCTCTCATGTCTGTTCATGCCTCCAGCCTCTGAAGTGATACTCTGTCTGGGCAAGTGATGCTCTGTCTTCTTGGTGCTTGGGGGGGTCAACAATGGGAGGGCTTCTAATGTCCTGGCCCCACTGGTGGACCTCCTGACGGCACCTGGTATTTTTGGCCACTGTGTGATACAGAGTGTTGGACTGGATGGGCCTTTGGCCTGATACAACATTGGCATCTCTTATGTTCTTAATTTAAGCATCCACAGATGGGGCCATGTTGACTATTAAGATCTAATGATGGTGCATACCCAAGGTGATCATAGACAACTCTTAAAATTACCTTCTGGAATTTTGTGTGCTACTTGTCCATAGGTGCAAATAACTAATGCACTGTTGAATGTGCAGGAGTCCAGTTTTTTAAATGATTATTAGTTTTTATACCACTCTTTTTTATTTAAGAGATTTATAGGCCACTTTTCCTAGATGTTCAAAGAGGTTTACAAGAAAAAATGGTAGTGTTTTAGCCACATCCATCCAGTGAAGTAGAGTAGAAAAAGCGGGAACCTGTAAGGACTCGTGGGAGGCATCTCATTTCCTCCTCCCCCATTATTTTTTTTTCCCTTTCCTGAAAGCCCCCATAGAGTCTCCCTTTTTCCTGCTTCCTTCTCTCCTTAGGGATTCCAGCTCCAGGTTGGGAAATCCCTGGAGATTTGGGGATGAAACCTTGGGAGGGCCAGGTTTTGTGAGGGAAGCAACCCTAGCAGGGTATTATTCCATAGAGCCTGCCCTCTAAAGTATCCCTTTTCTCCAAGGGAATTAGTCTCTGTTATCTGGCGAGCAGTTGTCATTCCAAGTGATCTCCAGCCCCCACCTGGAGGTTGGCAACCCAAGTTTCCATGGCGGAAACTGCTGCTTTGGAGGATGGAGTCTATGGCATTGTACCCTTCCAGGGTCCCTCACCTCTTCAAACCCACCCTCCTCAGGCTCCACCCCCCTAAATCTCCAGGAATTTTCCAACCTACAGCAGGCAATCCTAATCAGTCTTGGTCCCAATCAGTACTCCCTCAAAGGTTAAAATAGGCCTGGAAAGGGCCCTGCCCCCTCCCCCTGCCTTTTACTGATAGAACCAAGCCTAGAATCTGTGGCTGCCTAGCAATGGCCACTGAGGGAAATTGCTGCTTAAAGCTACAGGTGCTCTGTTTATCATTTTTTTTGTTTTTTTAATCCCCAATGCATTTTTTTTTAAATCCAGATTTTTCTGTAAACCTGGGGCATTGTTCAGGTTTGTAGAAAGATCTGTCTTGCCCATTCTCACCATTCTGGATTTAAGTATCCTCAGGATTTAAGTATCCTCAGATTTGGTCAATTAGAATATATGATGCATGTCGCTATTAAAATATCTGCTGAGCCAGGATTTGAAAAATGGTTTCCCACATTCAAACTGCCATTGTATCACACACTGGTATGTGCATCACACACACACACACACACACACACAGGAACTCGCAAAAAGGTGTGTTTACATTTCAACCTTCATGTGATTTCTGTTTCACTTGTGAACTAGGAGTGCCCAGCCTGAAGCACATTATTGGTTCTCTGGGCTCCAGGCACTGTTACTACTATGCAGTTTGAGGCTAAAAAAGTGGAAGAAAAGTATTCCTTTACAGCATCTTCAAATATGCATTGGTCAAACAGATAATGCAAGACAATTTTCAAGTCACTAAAATTTGTGCCTATGAATAAGGTAATTTATAACTGCTGTTTGCTGGAACTCACTGCAGAAATGCTGCTTGAGAGCATCATAGGTCTATTTCGCATGCACAGCTTACTTTAGAGAATCCAAGCTGTCAAGCCTTTATGCTTGACTTTGGATTCTGTGCTTCCTGAATGCACCATTCTTTTTCCTCTGGTGTATTTATTCTGCAGCTTGACTGCTTGGATTCTCTAAAGTAAGCTGTGCCTGCAGCCCAGCTGGGCTTGCTGTGCCTGTGGGGAGCCAATGGCACAACTCTGTGCATCCTACTCCCAACCAGGAACCATTTCTCTTTTTTAGCAGTGATCGGAGACTAGCGGTAGTCTCATATCGCTAGACTCATGCCACTTGTAAAAAAATAAATGCAAAATGAGGGTCATACCAATTAATGGTGGACAGTACAGAGTGGGCAGAATGACCTGGGTGTAGGCGTGGCCTACAAGGGGCAGGGGGAATCTGTATGCTTTTAAATTACCTTCAGCTTGGAAGTGAAGCAAGGGAAAAAAACAGCTCAAAAGCACTCTCAGAAAACCCAGAGAAACAGTCTTCCAGTTTTGGCGATTCACAGATCAGATGCATCCCATTGAGCTCTAATGTGGACGCTCTGAGGCATGGTGGACAGGAGGGGACTCAGGTGATTCTGAGGCCCCCCGGAGCTCTTGTACAAAGCTCTTTGCCTGGGGTGCAGAGGGCTGCCTCTTCCAAGGCAACGGCCAAGGAATTGAGGCTCCCCATACCCAGAAAAGTCCTGCCACTGGGAAGCCGTCATGGCAATCAGAGACGATTGCCGGGTGAAGCGGACAAGAGATCTAGCACACTTATGATCGTTCTTTACTTCAAATGCTACAAACTGTAAGCTAAGCGCATCCCCCCAACAAGCCACTCGAGAGAACGGAACTAACCTATGGGACAGAGCAGCGGGTGGGGAGGAATTGGGGATCCCCCCCTCGAAACTAAGCTGTGCCCAAGAGAAAATCCCAAACGGAAAAAAAGATACTGACCATGAGAGCAGCCACAGATTAGACACTTCCAAAAATTAATGGGAGAAAACTACGCCTGAGATTCAGTATGGAAAAATCAATGTTCAGTGCTTTGCAGCATGCTACATATAGCATGCTATATTTCTACAAGGGCAATACAGTATCAGGCCAGTCACTAAACATCTACTGATTTCAGTGAGATAGTTAGCCACATGCTTAAATCTGTCCAGTTGAAATCAATGGGACTTAACTTTGCAGGATCTTGTCCTCGGGTTCTATTGTTTAACATATACTTTTAGAAAGAACATGGTGAAGACTTCGAACTGATCATTTTGAAAACCAATATTTTAACCACACATTGTACAGTGTTACTTCATTTTCAGGTCTGTGCTCTATTAGAAGTTGTTTCCACACACCACAATGGTATTTTTTAAAACAAACGCAGTCTACATTTGTACCTTTACCTAGAAAACATGCTCAAGATGACAGCAGCTTTCCACTTCTAGAAATGGAGGTGTCTATGGAGACAGCACTTCATGCACTCTTCTTTGGCCATGAAATACAAAGACAGCAATGGTGCCTACTTTAAAGGAATTCTAAACTATATTGTTCCTGCCAGACCAAAGGCAAACTATTTTATGGAGCATGCATGCATCTATGAATATCATTAATAAGCAGAACAGGTTCTTACAGCAGGAGTCCCTCTGTTTAAAATCTTCCTGCCATTTTGCATATGCTCGAGTGCATCAGCCTTTATAAAATTCAAAGGCCCCTTTCGTGCTTTCAACCTTCCATAGGAGGGCTCCTGACTTGTTGGCTACAAGCAGTCTCCATGTTCTCTGCTCTCCAATATGTGGTTTCTTTGAACACTGAGCAGTTCTATTTTCTTCTGTGCTTGTTTAAGCTTCAACTTCAAAGCTTCGTTGTCTGCTGTTAAAATGTTTCTTTCCTAAAAAACACACAAACCAAAAACAAATGGGTGTCATTAGAACAGTATATGCTTAAGTTTCAGTGTTTTCATCCCTACTAGCATCTTATTCTCCAGGTCTGTGCACTTAACTACAACTTGAATAGTAAATGGATTGAAAGAGACAAGTACTGCCCGTCTGAGATGGGATCAATTATCATTGTTGCATCTTGAAAGAAAATATCAATGGCCTGGTAAAGATATGCTTTCATGTGCAAATCTGACTATAAGGAGCATATATGTATTCCATTCCAATCTTCAGCTCATCTAGTGTACCTACAGTTCTGTAGGAAACAAGAAATGTAGTGAAGGTGGATGACTCTCCCCAAAAAACTCTTGTGTCCATAAAATACCTATTACTATGCTGGCTCTTTGTTTGTGTCAGCAATGTGCTCGGCGGTTCAGGGGCCTTAGGACTTAGCTGCCCATCAACTAAAATGATTTTAATGTATCTATATTTTAGTTCCTAGTCTATTGGCATTAGTTAGGAAGCCTATGACTGCTTTCCTTAAATCCCACATTGCACACTTGTTTATTCAGCTTTTGTTAAAAAGCCAGCATAGTGTAGTGGCAAACAGAATGAGCAGTGTGAGAAGCTTGGGCTGTGCTGGAGCCATAGAAGGGCAGCCATAGAAATGTGGCTTAGTGTGGACAAGGGGGGAACTGGAGCAGAGAAGGGAGGAACTGAGCCTCATGCTGAAGCCTCCTCCAGGCTCCTGGCTGGAAACGGGGTCAGAGCCTCCAGGTCCCTCAAGCGTGGAGGGGAGAGGGTTATGCTCACGCGGGTTTTTGTCCTCTTGTCAGGGTGTTCCCTGCTTGTCTCTTCTGGCCCTCTCTCTGTGCTGACTCTGAGGCAGGAGCAGCCCCAACCACCTCTTCCCTAGCCTAAGGTTTAGAGTGTTTAAGTAGGCCCTTGCAAGCCTTTACATGCTGCATGCCTTTTTGCTTGAGCCAGTCAGCCCTTGGAGGCTTCCTCCACCTCTCTCCAGCTGGGCCCCTTCCTCCTCTTCCTTTTCCGGCCAAAGCTCCCTGGCTTGATGTTCACCTTGGCTGGGTTGGACCCTGCACCTTGACCCTTGGCCAGATTGGGCCCTCAGTAGGGGTCTCACCATGGTAAATGGGGGTATCGATCGGGGGCACCCTGCCAAGATTCAGACAAGCTGTCATCCAGGATGTCTCCACATCAAATTTTGCCCCTGCTATCAACTCACTAAAACAAACTTTAGATAACCCTGTCCCCCAACCTTCCCCCATCGCAACAGGTAGTTAACACTAGCCCACCTTACAGGACTGTTGTAAAGCTTACAGCAAGATAATTTAAGTGAAGTGCTTTGAACAGTGGAAGTGTAATATAAATGCTATGTATTATTATTATTCATCCTTACCCTATTTGTCATTTATTAGCTACTTTAACAGCAGAGTTTCGTATAAATGCCAAAAGAGTTTCACCACATGGGTTTATGGGGTGGGCTGTATTTTGCTGGGTAGTCAGGGAAAGAAAGTTTACATAAGCAAAGAAAATATGTTTGGTTCTGTTGAGCTATATTTAGAGGAAATAATATTAGTACATTTCAATATGACTTCACTATGTTAAAAAGAATTACTTCAATCCAAACTGGGCTTTGGCTCTTTCTTACAAACCTCAGGAACTTCTCTCAGATTTTTCACACTCTACATTAGAGACTGCCTGGGAACCCCTAGAGACACAAAAAAGGCTGTACTGACTGTTATGAATGACCATTCACAGTCATTGTTTCAGTGTACCTGCTCTAGCTCCTGGTATGAAGGTTTAAGAATAAATTGCTCTTCCTTCATTTTTTGACTGCCGTCCTTGTTTTCCCATTTTACGTAAGCCTTTTTACGGCTAAGAACTGGGCTTGGGCATGGAGACACAGGAGTAGGCTGGAGAAAGGTATTTTCAGATGGCACTGCTGGCTCCTTCTGTTGTCTGTTGAGCCCGTCACCATCGGCTGGAACTAGGTCAGTCTGCGTGCCTTTGTGTACCACAGCTGGCTTTAGTCTTACGGAGATCTTTTGAGTCGACACACCCATAAGCATAATTGTTCTGTCCTTGCTGTCTTCATTGTGCTCAACTACTTCTCCATTAGGAAAGGGAAATCCTCCCTCCTCTAGTCCTGTTGGAAAAAGCACAAGACATGAAGTTAATGGCAACATGGAAGGTGAAAGCACTTCAGTGATTAAAGTAAATTTCACAGTTGCAGCTCAGTGACCAAAGTTGATGAAATGGTTTCCTGCTGGAACTATATAAAGTAGTTTCCAGAATTTGGTTCCTATCTATTCTTTCCTTCTTTGTCACTCTACAGGCTCTAGTAGTAGAGATGGGCACGAACTTAAAAAGGGTGGTTTAGTTTGGGGTGGCCCATGAACTGAACCCCAAACTGAACTGAGCCAAAAGGGCCCCACCCAAACCAAGCTGGTCCAGCGAGTTTGGTTCCCCCTTTCCCCCAGCCCTGGCAAGCCACAACTGGGAGAAAGGGGGTGGTGACCACCCTGGAAGGGACTTCCCTTCCCCCTTTCTCCTGTCCATGGCTTGCCATGTCAGCCATTTAACCATTCGGTTATGCTTCCAGCCACTTTGAGAGAAGGGAACAAGACCAAAGGGTTAAATGGCTCACAGCTATTTAAACCTAACAGCTCAGGAGGTCCATTCGTCAGCTGCGGGGAGTGAAACTGAGGGGTTTAATAGCTCACAGCCATTTAAACCTAACAACTCAGTGGGTCCACTGGTCAGCTGTTAGGTTTAAATGGCTGGCAGCCATTTAACCTTTCAGTTTCCCTGCCCCCTCTCCAAAATAAAGTCTGGTAAATGTTTGGGGAAGGCACCTTTCCGAACATCAGTTACTGAGCTCTGAACCAGCCCAAGTACGACCTGAATTTGGTTCATGAACTGGTTCATGCTCATTCCTATGTAGCAGCCACCACTGTGTAAGAAGCTGAGGCATGACCTATATAATACAGTCAACTACCGTCCTTGGGTTGCAACCTACTAGCTGTTCTCCCGCTTATGGGAGCCTGCCTGGCATTGATCAGAGCCCATGCTTTTTATATCTCCCACCCTACAGAATGGGCTTCCTGTGTGTGTGGTCTCTACAAACATTTAGGTGGCACTACAAGGCCATTTAATTTGTTAGGGCTTTTAATGGGATGTAGGCAAAAATTCTTTGGGTGTGGAGGAATTATTTGGAGTTTTATTGTTTTTTATATATTTTCAACTGGAATATATTATTATAATAATAGCCTACTATACAGCACTGTTGTGAAAAGAACTGATATTTTTTTATTTATTCAGAAGATTTATCTCTTGCCATTCAAGTATACAAATATGGAAACTAAAGGCAGCTAATAACCACAAGTACATAATCACAGCATATAAAGACCTAAACCAGAGAAATCACATCTGTCATTAAATATAAGATAATGGGTATTAGCCTCTCTGAAGTCTCAAGGATTATTAGGTGGCAGCAATCACTTTTAGTTTGGGCCAAACTAGCAGGAGTTAATAAAGCTATGAAATGGATTGCTGTTACTGGGACTTAAAATATTACCTGAGGGCCAAACTAGATGATAACCAGGTCCCCAAGTCCTCGACAGTTGGTCCTTAAGAGTCAGAGAGATGGATTTGGCAGAAATCTCAAGACACGCTGACAGATAGGATCCAAAATACAGATTGTTATCAAATAGAATAAGAGTGGGGGGTTTTCCTTAAAAGAAGAGCCATTTTGGGTTGGTTTCTTTTTAAACACCAGTAAATTGTACACTGCTTGATTTTTTAACTTTTTACCCCTTCAAACAGCAGGTCAATGGTACAACAAATAACAAAAAAATATTAACGTCACATAGGAGGGCTTCCCGAATATGATGAAGTGGTTTTGAAATTGTGACCAACAGCACGGATACCTGATGAAAGAAGTTCTGCAGGTCACTGTATACTGGTGTTAAAAAAAAAAAAAGGATGAACTGGACCAGCAAAAGTAATGTAATAGCACAGCAACCCTGTATCTTAATATGTTCAAACCTGGTCAGTAATCGTGCTCTCTTTAGAAGAGTAGGTTTTTATACCCCACTTTTCTCTACCCTAAGAATTCTCAAAGTGTTCTCAAAATGTTCCCTTCCCTCCCCCCACAAACAGGCACCTTGTGAGGTAGGTGGGGCTGAGAGAGTTCTGAGAGAATTGTGACTGGCCCAAGGTCACCCAACAGGCTTCATGTGGAGGAGTGGGGAATGAAACCCAGTTCTCCAGATTAGAGAACACAGTTCTCTTAATTACTACACCATGCTGGCTCTTTAAGCTACAACTGGTATTGAGAGTTAGTGTATACTGACTCAGGAGAAGAGAGTTAAAAAAGAGGAAAGATCATCTTTCAGGTTTTCAGCTATTATTATTATTATTATAAGCACGTAAATAAATAAGGAAATAAACCAACAAACATTTGCTAAGAGACGGTAGTGCTGGCCTCGGCACTAGATTGGATCCTAAGTAACAATTATGTCCATACATTTCATTAACTGAATTCATTTCTTACCATGGATATGCTCCTTCAGTCCCATGGGACAGAGGCTAGATGCTAGGGCTGATGCAGGACTGTTATCCACCGTTGTGGCTTTGGATCTTCGTTTACATTCAAATACAACCAGATCTTTGCATTGCTTGTGACAGTTCATCCCACAGTCTGCAAATAAAAACAGAGGAAGTTCACTGACTTGATATCAGAAATCAATGGATCTATTTTCTCATCTCCCATCATATGAGGCATATTATAGAATCTTTGTATGCAACTAAGTTGTAATGAGCACTCTCTACTATCCTTTAAGCTGAATTACTTATTGTGCTGGTTTGACAACCACGATGGTGTAATCTTGAGCCAGACATCCTGGAATCGAAGTCAAATGGGCCTTAGAAAGCATTACTAACAACAAAGCTAGCGAAGGTGATAGTATCCCAGCTGAGCTATTCAAAGTCTTAAAAGATGCTGCTGCTAAAGTGCTGCACTCAATCTGCCAGCACATTTGGAAAACACAACAGTGGCCACAGGATTGGAAAAGGTCAGTTTACATTCCAATCACAAAGAAGGGCAATGCCAAGGAATGTTCAAACTATCGCACAATTGCGCTCATTGCACACGCTAGCAAGGTCATGCTAAAGATCCTACAAGCTAGGCTTCAGTACATGGATAGAGAACTGCCAGAAGTACAAGTTGGGATTCAAAGAAGTAGAAAAACTAGAGATCAAATTGCCAACATTCGCTGGATTATGGAGAAAGCAAGA